GTCATCTAGCAGCCAGAGAATTATTCACGAGATTTCAGCAGCCAGCTTGAGAGGTGAGTTTTCCTCCAATAGGAAGGAACGGATCAAAGGCACCAATGTTGGTCCGTTTATGTATGTTAGCATATGCCAGACTTAGGTCCGATGCCGGGGATAGCCCGATGTAGCTTATATGTTTGGACCTCGGTCCGATGCAGGGGATAAACCGATGTAGCTTATATGTTCCGGACTTTTGTCCGATGCTGGGGCAAGCAGGAAGAATGTTTGTATCCTTGATGTCTTCATGATTCGATCATGTGTTTGTTTATGTGTTCCGGACTTCGGTTCGATATCGGGGCAAGCCTGAGGAATGTTGAGCATATATGTTATGTGTTATATGTTCCGGTCTTCGGTCCGATGCGGAGGCAAGTCCGAGGAAGGTTTATATTTTTATATGTTATATGTTTATGTATTATATGTTTGTTGCTACGTTATATTTATACAAATCTTCGATCCGATGTTGGGCGGGGCCCGATGTCGGATTTGTCTGATGTCGGGCGGAGCCGATGCAATGGGCAAGGCCCAATATATGCTATTATGTGTTTATTTGTATGGTATGTGGTAGTTTGGGGGAGTTACTAAGCTTCGTTCTTACAATTTTTTAGTTTTGGTTTCAGGTACTTCCGGTAACAAGGGGAAGAGCTCGGGATGACTGCAAGGCACACACCACAGTTTTCAGCCTGGGATATTTTAGACTCTGATATTTTGATACATGGTTTTGATATAGTATTTTGATATAATGTTTGAGATACAGGATTTGGGATTTTATTATGTTGTTTATCAATTATGGATTTTTCTTTAATGGTTTAAAACAAATTTTTTGGACTATATTTTTGGGATGTTACAAGTTGGTATCAGAGCCTTGGTTTGAGGGATTCGGGCAAACTCTCATGTGTGTCTTGACTGAAACTGAGGACTTGATATGAAAATTTTCAAAATAAAATCATTCTTATAAAAAGAATTTTGAAAAGAGAAAAGGGTGTGGTGCATGCTATCATCCGTGCTCAAGTAAGTACTCCCAAATGACCCATACAGGTTTACGTTATGATAAGTGTATCAGCTCTTTGAGAACTACATGCTAGATTAGGACGAAGGATCTAGGAAGGATGCCTTATGTGCCTATTATATATGTATCATCTTTATGAGAACTGAATGCTAGATGAGGACTAAGGATCTAGGAAAGATGCCTTATGTGCCTGTTATATATGTATCAGCTTTATAAACTGCATGCTAGTACAAATTAGTCAGTATGATAGCCTGATTAGTATATGCTTGATTATGTTTACTCAATGCTCAAATGTTGCTTTCTTTGTACATTTAGGAGTTCTAGTTGTCTTTTACTAATTAGTAAACGAATATGTTAAGTTATATATTGTGAGGACTAAATAATTTCAGAAGGTTAGGTCTAGCTCTATTTTGCAGCTCTTGTTTGAGTCCACCCATTGTAGGGTAGGATCTCTCATTCGAAGAATTATCCAGTCTGAGTGATGTGTAATGGTATTCGTGAGATAGTTAGGGAAAATAGTAGGGACTTCTTATGCAGCTGATGGCGGAGAGTGGGATGGTGATTACCCACATGAGAAGCATTAGTAGTAGAAAGGACTTGGTGAAGTCAAGGCAGTTCTTGAGGAAAGTATGGATAGATGTGGAAGGTAGTATGTGTTGCGTTTTGTATGCTACAACATCCTATAGTGCACATACAACCCTAAATGCCTTGGATCTATGTTTTTTCTAATTATACATGTAATGGTATTTCCAAAGCATTAAGCCTATAACTAGCATGCAATTGACATAAACAATATGAAATACTAGTTAGGATGACATACCTTTTATGTAGCTTGAAACCATGTTGTATTTGGCTTTAAGAGCTTAGCACCAAAAGTATAAATACTTCAAATGGCTCATAACTCACCTAGGACAAAGGTGTCTCTTGAATAAGAATCTCCATGCACCAAAAACGCCTCATGAATTACAAGAATACGTATGTAGGTGTTTTTTGGATAAGGAGTACATATTTAGATGTTGGATTCCAAGGGTTATGGGTATAACCCAAATCCATACCCATGGGTATTATGATACATGGTTCATGTGGCCCAACTCTTTATGTGTCCATACATAAACTTGGTCCAACATGGATCATAAACCCAACACATATAAATATAACTAATTACCATAATTAGTCCCCAAAGATTTAATTAGTCTCTTTTGATCACTAAATTAATTCCAAATTAATTCTTGATCAATACTAATTAAAACATATGATTTCATATTAATATATTAGAACTTATAATATATTAATAAATCATATGTAACCTTTTCTTAAGAGTCCATCCTAACAAATTGTCCTGATATTATGCAACCAAAATAGACCATGCTACTCTCGGGTCGAGTACATACCAATAATAGTTATGGACTTAGACATCTAATCCAACAGTCTCCCACTTGGATAAGTCTAAAACAATTTATAAAACTCATGCATTATCTTAATACTTTATGTTGTTTTTATATCATTTTATGGGCAAAGGGTACTTAATTAGCTTAATATTTCAATTTCAGCAATAAAAGACATGATCGGGTGAAAAGAAAGAGGATTAAGCGATTAGAAGCTTGGAGATCGAAAGAAGGATGAAATATGAATAAAGTCGAAGAGTTGACCCTTAACTACACGAGTTGGTCAGAATATTCTCGGTTCAAGGATGCCTTGTCGTACACGTTCCATACACAGATTATCGACAAACCTTGCCAAGTTGGTTATGAAAACTCGACGAGTTAGGTTGATTTTTGGCAACTATAAATAGATAGCATGTATGCCCGAAACCCAAACTTTTTCTGGAGGCTAGATACGATTATTGAAGACCAAAAGGATTCTTGAAGCTTCAGTTTTCGAGATTGCAACATAAGAGACAATTTAGAAGAGAATCAAAGGAAAATAATCATTCTTCTTTTCTTAATCTATGTTTTGAACCATGTTTGAGTCATTATATTTTAATTTTAGGTTATTACTTGCTATAGATATGAGCTAAAAGCTTTTTACTTCTGTTTAGATGAGATAATCTTATGAGCATTGTTTGATTGAGTGGTTGGATTAATATTAATTTGGTTATTTATCTTGTTTAGCTTGTTAAAGATCCTCATGTATTGATGATAAATGTTTTCTATTAATTAGTGAGTTATTAAGTTGTATGAACATCTTCTTGATCACTTGATTCATATAGTTTTGTGAATAAAGGATTGTATGCCTAGGAATAATGAATATGAAACTAGGGTTAACTAGAAAATATGTTGTAACGACCCAATTTTCACGTCCAAAAATTTCGTTTTTAAAACATTACTTTAGAAATGTTAATAAATAAAAACATTGTTTGATCCAAGTACATCACAACATAAACCTTGTTCAAAATTCAAGTCATACAACCAATCGAAATATCAGAGTATAAATCCAAGAGAAATCTAATGGATGCGGAAACCAGTGTGTGTGCATGATGTGCCGCTACCGTGCCAGCTCCTTCCCCTTCGACGAAGAGGTACCTGAAACCAAAACTGTAAACTGTAAGCACAAAGCTTAGTGAGTTCCCCCATCGTACCACATACCATACAATACATAACATACATACAGCCAGACTATTTTGGGGTGCCTAACTACCCGGTACGGCCATTCTGGGGTGCCGACTACCCGTGCGGCCATTCTGGGGTGCCGTCCTACCCGTGTCAAGCCATTATGGGGTGCTGACCTACCCATGTCGAGCTATTCTGGGGTGTTGACTACCCTTCGGTCCTAACAACTGAACCCCAGGGACTATTTCACCCCTTACTACTACCATCACATATATCATAACACAAACATAATATTAGACGTATCTGGGGTATCTGACTACCCCTCGATCCTAACAACCGAACTTTACTACTATCACATACAACATATCATGCCAACATATAACATATCGGTAGTAGCAAACCTAGATGATATCACAAAGACAATCATCTAACATACAACTCCTACTGGTGGGCCGGCATTGTGACCTTAGACCCACCACTACTGAAAGGTAACTCACCTCGTAGTAGCTGCCGATCTGTGTGGGAATAGTCTGATTGCTACTGCTGCTGCTCTGGAAATCCTCTGGCTGTAATTCCCACCAAACACTTAATCAAAAATTGCTAACTGTCCTCTGGGTAAAATGATGATTTTACTCCTGATCATGCCCTTAGTCAAAGTCAGAGTCAACTTCCAGTTGACCCGACTCGCCGAGTTGGCTCGCCAACTCGCCAAGTCCATGTCCAAATGACTGACTTGAATTCTGTTTCTACTCATCGAGTTAGGCGTTGGCTTGACGAGTTCTCCTTCCAAACTGATGTTCAAGTCCTTCATCCTACTCGCCGAGTTGTATGAACAACTTGCCGAGTTCATCTTCATTCGATGAACAAGTTATACTGTGACTCGCCGCGTTGTATAAACAAGTCGCCGAGTCTGATCTTGATCTAAGGAGATTGCCTTGAACTCGCCGAGTCTGGGCATCGACTCGTTGAGTTCCATTATGGGTGATTTTTGGCTTCCAACTCACCGAGTCCACCCTGGACTCACTACACAACTCATCAGAGCAAAAAGGGGACAATCTCAGAGACTCGCGACTAGACTCGTCGAGTCAGATGAGCGACTCATTGAGGCTGCTCCATGCAAGAGCCATATACGCGATTTTGCTCGAATCTAGTCCATTCCATTCATAGACCTGGGTTCCTAGAGCATGAATAATACGTAAAGTTTCCAACTTTACGTGTA